CGGAAGGAAGGAGGCAGACAAGAGTAAGGCACATCTGACTCTTAGGACTAGCAGTCAGAGCCAGAAGGAAAGGTTTTATTGCTATACTGGTAGGTAAGAACAGATTTTACTTATGTCCATATAGTTTGTCTGAAATTATAGTTGTTTTCTGTGTTTTTGTTTTGTTTTTGTTTTTGTTTCTTTTTGCTAAAATAACATGTTGAGCCCAGCAAATAAAATAGTCCAGTCTAGTTGTGCTCATCTAGAGTCTTAAAATCCCTTTTCCAGTGTCTTCACTTGATGATGAAATCTAATGTAATTAATACCCATGAGAGCCAGTAGGCACTTTAAATCTTAACATAATTATAATGGTTGATAATCATGCTTGAAAGCATTGGCCTCTGTTGCCCTCTTTCCCATTTCCCCTTCACAGTGGCTCACAGTAATGCCTTAGGAGAACACCCTTTAAGCATTTTTATTTTAAATTTTAATTTTTTGCAAAGGGCTAGCTTGGGGGTGTGAACTCCTTAAAGGGGGGGGGGGGGGGGGGTATTTTGAAATTGGCTTTAGCCTAGGGAGGAGATAATACTGAGAGTTTCTTACTTTTCCAGGAAGGAAGTTGCTGTCCCTACCTGGTCAGCCCTCTAGAAACTAGAGGCCTTTGGCATATTCAAGTGGCTGCTTAAAATGTAAGTTAGCTAACATGTGGTGAGTATTTTTAAGGCTGGGGAAACCAAGGTGAATAGTAATGGTGTTTAAGGATAGAATTGGGGGGGGGGGGCGGTCCTGAGGTTAGGATTCAGGTGTTTCAGTGCCATCTTTCTCTCCGTGAGAAAGCCAAAACAAAGCAATTGCACACAGCACAAGTAGGTAGGTTCTCATGCTTTTTGAATGAAATTTCTTTTTCCTTTTTGCAGGAACATCATTTAAGGTCCAGAATTGAAGCCACTTATAAATTGAGCTGCTGTGCAGCTGACTTGATTCTTGCCTGCTGTGCAGCTCACAAATTTGTAAAGAATGGATATGTTTCAGTAAAATGTTTTTAAAATGAATTATCTGCCTCTTGTCATAATGTCTCAGCCTCTACAGCACCTTCTGAAACTAACTTGGAAGTTGACTTTAACATAATGCTTGTTTGGGGAAGGACTAAGACTAGGACCCACACCTGAACCCCTAGGCCAGTTTACAACTCTTTTGAACAGTGGATAGTAACAGCTAACATTTAGATAGCCCTTAACTATGTGCCAGGCACCTGTAAGCTCTTTACAATTATCTCCATTGATACTCAAAACAATCCCAGGAGGTAGTAGGTGCTATTATCTCTTTTGTACATGGGAAAAACTGAGGTGGTGACTAGCCTAGGTCAAAGCTAGTAAATGGCTGAATTCTTATCCACTGTGTCATTAGCTGCCTTTGAATAATAGAATGGCTTTGAAAAACCAGCAGAGAACCACATAAAGGTAGGAAAGAAAAGGCCAGACTTGCCTTTGTGTAGAAAGAAACTGCCTTGGAAGGTTTGGGGCAGCTAGGTGCCTCAGTAGATAGAGCACTAGCCCTGGATTCAGGACTTGAGTTCAAATCCGCTCTCAGACACACAACACTTAGTAGCTGTGTGACCCTGGGCAAGTAACTTAACTCCATTGTCTAACACCTCCCTCCCCCCAAAAGAAAAAAAAGTTGTAATGAAGCTCAGCATTATATTGGCTGGGGACCCGTAGGTTTGAAAGTGCATCCAATCTGGTCACGTGGGTAATGTGCATAATTACAGGTTAGCTTGCTTGCTACATACTTTGTTACTCGGAAGAGTCAGCTAAGCTGGCTGCATGGAGACCTGCCACCCATTTGACAGTCTTTTTCCATTTGAGTGTATTGAGCTGCAGTTCCCTGGCTCCATAAGCAGAAAGACAAGGCTAAGTTAGATGAGCTAACAACCTGAGAACAAATCCCAAACCTGAATATGTTGGCGTAGTTTTGAAATTGGTCTTTTCTTACCTCCTTCCCTTGCTCTCCTGTTGAAGTGTACAACTGTATTTGGGGTTGTGACTTTCAGCTCCCACTGGCTCTTAGGTTACTGATGTAAGGTGAGCGATGACATGATTATTAAATATATGCTTCCTGATAATACAGTAGATAAACCCAGTGAAACCAAGTAACAATTGAGTCTGTCCAGGTTGTGAAGTAGCTGCCATTCCCTGGTAGGTCTTCAGATAGGTCATAGTAAGGATAGAAGAGCACTGTCCTAGAGCACAAGAGCCCAAGGAAATTAATCCTAGTCTTTTTTACTTTTTTTTTTTCCTAGTCTCTTTTAATAAGGTAATTGGAGCCCAGAGATTAGAAGTAATGTTTTAGGTTCATTAAACTTCTCCACTAATAGTAGATGATAATAAATTACATAGCCTGTAAAAAAACTGATTCTGGGCTTGCCAACTAGACAAAAGGATAGAATCGTGTTACTATGAATTTGTAAATCCATTTCTTAAGAATCAACCCAGAGCTAGATGATGCAAGTATTGGTCTCCATTGTACAGTAACCATAACCACCTAGCAAAGTGTCCCAAGGTGGTGCTGGAGCCAAGTCTCCTACTTTCTCATGGGTCCAGCCATGTTTTTCACTAGGCTTTTTCGCTTTCAAACGCCTTTCACCAGCCATTATTTGTCCAGCTCTTCCATCTTCAAAATACTTGCCTTTGCTCACTGTTTCCTATGGCTTTGAATAGGTTTTCCCCAACCCACGCCTCAGAGTAGTACTTATACATAAGTACTATTAAGTTAATACAGTTTTTGTATATTAACATAACAGCCCTCCTCATGTCCACCCCCTTCATTTACATGTAGAGCCATATAGTTAATGCATCTGTCTCTCCACTAGACCATAAACCCTGTGAGGAGTGAATTCTCTGTTTAGTCTCCATGACAAGAAAGGTCACTTGCATAGACAGGTTCAGAGAAGTCCTTAGATTATTTATCTAGTTCATGGTTTTGTTTTTTCTTCAAACTGGACATCATCTCAGTGGGATTACAATGGAGCAATTATGTTGAGTTAAAGATGGAATTTTTTTTCCATCTATGGCACCAGTCTGAACCCAGGTCCTACCTATGCTAACTCGGGGCAGCTAGGTGGCACAGGGGATAGAGCTCTGGGCCTGGACGCTGGAAGCCTTGTGTTCAAGTCTCCTCAGACATTTCGTGACCCTAGGCAAGTCACAACCTTTGCCTTGGCTTCCCCATGTGTAAAACGGGGTTAATGGCAGCTGCCGCCTAGGGTTGTGAGGACCACAAAAGATAAAATGTAAAGCACTTAGCACAGTGTCTGGCATATTGCAATATACAGATATGAACTATTACGAATTATAAAGCATATGGCAAGTAGTGCTATTTAAATGTTAACCATTATGAAATCTTGTTGTACATGAATAAATTGGCATTTTGCTTTTCGAAATCAGTAGGACAGAGAACTGGTCTTGAAGCCAGGTAAATAATTTCCTTATCTGGGAGTTCCCTATACTGAGATCACTGGTCCAGTTCCTACTTTGGTAAAGGGTAACTAGCCTTTTAAATCGATGAAATCAGATTTCAGAAAGCTGAAGGTCTGGTTCTAGACCATAAAGACCTGTCTCCCTCCAGTTCCCTACCATATGGTGCAGCAGCTCCATAAATCTCAGGTCTGAAGCCACCAGTGGAGTGGAGACTACCCACATAGTTTCTAAATCACCATTCAATGGAATGGAGTACTTAAGGTTATCCAGCTGTCTGAACCAGTGCTTTAAAAACAATAGGGTAGGGTTGCAGCATGGTGGGTTTAGGGGACACCCAGAATTTCTGGAATGGAATGACAAACCCTGGAACAGGTTGGTTAGAGATGGTGGCTTTTTTTTTTTAGGATGGAGGAGAGGGAAGGTGAGATTTCAGTATTATAAATGGTCTAGCTTCATCCCCTGCTTTCCACACCTGGTTGTCAATCTATTTTTTTTTTTTTAACCAACTTGATCCTCATCTCCTATCCTGTTCAGGGTTTGGATCCTTTTGTCTAATTGCACTTTTCTTGCTCCAATCCAAGACCTCCCTTTGGAAATGGAAGTGCACACTTGAATTACTTTGAATAAACTATTCCACCTTCTACACTCCCTTCAAGCTCAACACCTCCACCTCATCTAACAGATTCTCCATTCTGCTTACTGACATTGCTAGTATCTGGTACTCTACCCCCAACACCCATCAGCTTTCTTTTCTTTTTTGGTAGTTTCCATTCGGACAGTTTGGGATCCTCTTGGGGGCACCAAGTCTTTCTGAACAGTGCAGTGGGATGACCCCTATCTTTGAAACCAAAGCATACTCCTAGGCTAGCTTCCTCTCCTGAAATTCTGAGTTAATTTGTACGAGAGAGTTAAGTAGTATGTGAATTCAGGGAACACAGTCGTTTGATTTAGGCCAAACAGATTTAGCAAGTTCATCATAAAGCGATGAGAATTTTATCACACCTTTTTCAGTAAGGATCAGTGATAGTGGTGGGGTCCCCCTAAAACTTGCCTATTAGATCTGTTTGGGCTCAGCTAGGATACTTGGATCAGCTAGGACCTGGGCTGATATCATTAGAATAGATAGATAGGGAAGGATAGGATATATTTGTGCCTTTTTCTTTTCTACTTCCTGACCCACTCCTCAACCCCAAGCTTTGGAGAAATCATCTGTCCTCTAGGGGTAAATGTCTCTGGAAAGCGGGGAGATGGCAGAAGTATTGTACCAACTGCAATCCCCTGTATCAACAGGGTCACCTGGTCTGGAAGGGGCAGAGATGATAACGGCTGTTCATCAAACCTAGAACCTACTATTTTCTTCCTTCTGTTATTGGGGAATATTGGGGACAAGACCTGTTCTTCAGGATCCAACCAGCATCTTCTCCATTCATTTAACCACTTCCCCACACCCCCATCCTTCCTTTACCCTCACCAGCTCTGGACTGTGAGCAGGCTCTGTGTTGATGCCCAGCACTACCCAAATTATACAAGTGAAAGAAGACCAAATAAAGTTTTCTGTATCATGCTTTATCTTTCAAAGCTTAATTTGAGTCCTTGGAGGTAGAGGGGCCTGTCTGGAGAACTGAAGGGAGGGGGGCAACCAGGAATAGAGCAGACAGCTTCCAGGCCTCCTACATCCCCCAAACCAGTCTCCCTGAAGTTAGCACAGTGCCATTCCTACCCTTCACTCCCTGAGAGATGCCTGTCTTCCTGAGCCCTCCAAATCAATTCAATTCTCCAACCTCTGCCCTGACAGGCCAAGTTTGAGGAGCACCTTTCTGAGAAGGGCGAGGCAAGGGGAAGAAGGAAATGCACACTTTACTACCTCCAATTTCTTTTCCCTCCCAATTTCTCTTCCCCTATTCAGTCTGATGTCTCCATCTTGACAGCCCTGGGCACCAAGAAGATGGCGCCATCACCTGCCTGTTGCAAAGCATACTCTTCTGGAGAGTAGCCATTGCCAGCTTCGTCACGCAGCCTCCGGAAGACATCTCGGTACAGCTCTGCCAGCTGCTGGCGCATGGCCCCCAGGGTCCGGTTGGCCTCCCCTCGGGCCCTTAGTAGCCGTTCCCGCTCATTGCCCAACCTCTCCAATTCCCGCTCTAACTGCACAATGGTCTCCAGCTTCCTTTTTCGACAGTTCTGGGCAGCCACCTTGTTCTTGCCCCGCCGCCTGATGTCCCGGACCAAGGCCAGCTGGCTCTCACTAAGTGGATACCTAGCCACTAACTCATTAAAGTCATCCACAGGTAAGTTGACAATTTTCTCAGTGGGGAAGGGGATCTTCATGGCCAGAGCCCTGCGCTCATCCCTGCTTCCTGACTCCCCTCGTCCTGAGGGTTTGGCCCTTCCGGGGCACATCATGGGTTCAAAAGTCAAGTGAGTCTCAGGAGGTGGCAGAACATAGTTGGAATGGACTAGAGAGGTAGGCATGAGTGGATAGGGGTGCTCCACGGGGAACATCTCCACATATTCTCCTCTCTGTCTCCCAGCCTCTATTCCCTCCATCTCTAGGGATTCTGCATCGCTGTAGTTGAGGGATAAACCAGAGTCAGATTCAGGGTCTTCTTGAGGTTTGGTGGGTCCCACAGGCAGCCCCATGTCCAGCAGGGACAGGGACTTGGGGAGAGGTTCGCTGAGGAGTCCTGAGAGGGTCATGGGCTTAGAAACAGGAAGGGCCAGGCTGCCATATGCATAGGGAGAGTCCGGAACCAGGGCGGAGGGTGGAGGGAAGTCCTGGTAGAGACCCTCATAGGGCGAGGTGAGGTGGTTGCCAGTGTCAGGTAGAATTGGGCAAGGTCCATAAGCAGGAGGAGGTGCAGGCCCAGAATATGGCACTGGGGACTCAAAAGTTGGCTCATTTTGGATATCAAGGCCCTGTGGAAAAAAAGACATGTCAGTTCCCTGTGAAAGAAGCCTTGGCTATTTAGGCATGAGTTTTCCCAAGAATGCTCATTTCCAGCACCCCTTACCATTCCTCATCCGCCCCCATTCTAGTCATCTTCATATTTCCCACACTCATTCCCCCATTTATTACACTGTTTCCCTTTCCATTCAGCATCCCCCATCCCCTACACTCAACCTCTATTCTGCTACACTCAGCCCTTTATCACCTATATTCTGCCCCCATCTCTTACATGTAACGTCCCTTCCCTATGCTTGTCCCCAGTCCCCCGGTGCCCTTTTGCCCACATTCAGCCCCTATTCCTTTTCTTAGCCCTCCTATTCCTATGCTCAGCCTTCAGCTGATGTCACTTATAATCAGTCGCCATTTCCTTCTCTCTGGGCTTAGCTCTGGAGTCTCCACACTTAGGCTTCCCAAGCCTTACACCTAACCTCATCCCCTGGTACATAACAGACAAGCTTCCTAGAACACACATCCAGGCATTTCCACCAGGGAGTTGGGCAGGAAAGGCTTCTATGAGGTGACCTCTCTCCCAAGCCACACTCCTGTAAGCCCTGGCAATCCACAGAAAGGAAGTAGCAGCCTTGTGGGATATTTTACCCACTACTAATTGGTTTGTTTCTGGGAGGAAATATGGAGTCTAGGGAGTAGGGCAGGATGGGATAGAGATGATCTCCATATTTTCTTCCTCAAAGCTGGAGTCCAGCACCACAGGTTAAGCTCTCCATAGATATCTATACCCCCACCCCCACCCCTACCCCCAACACACACACTTCCTCCAGCACATAAGAACATCAGGGAACACTTGGGGGTAGGTGAGGAAGAGATGGAAGATGAGAACCAGGGAATAAGAGGAAACTCTGAAATTCTCTCATCTTTTCTAAACCTGTTGTCATTCCCCTCCTACCTCTGCCTCACCACCCCTAATACTGTTCATTGTGCTCATCAAAATTTCCAAACTCTCCACCCCTCCACTCTTTCCCAGACTATCACCCTTGCACTGACCTTTCTCTCCTCCCTTCCTCATCTTGACCCTTTGGTGAATCATTTCAGCCCTAGACTGTCCTCTTCTCTAGAGACCGCCTGCTCCTTTATCTTACTCTGTCTTACCCTGCCAAGCCTCCGCCATGGATCACTCTCACCTTCTAACACCTTCACTCCTACTCATGCTACTGAAGAAAGCTGGAGAAAATCATGAAACTGTGCTGACTGGGTCCACTACTACAAATTTATGTTATATAATCATAACTGGGCTCTCACTGTGGCAAGGCAATCTTATTGCACTTCCTTAAACTGATTCCCTATCCCAGTCATCACAGTGATTTTTCTAAATCCTTTCAATCCCCCTTAAACCTCTTGTGGCTCTGTCATCAGAGAACCTTTGCCTTGTATTTCTTTGAAAAAATCGAGGCTATTCATGAAGAGCTCCCTCTTCTGTCCTCCTCATCTCCACTTCTGTCTCACATGAAGAGGTGGCCCTTCTCCTTGCCAAGGCAAACCATTCTACGTGCACAAGTGATCCTATTCCATCCTGTCTTCTCCAGCAGACTGCCCCCTCTATCATCCTTACTGTTTCACTTATCTTTCACCTCTTCTTATCTACTGGCTCCTTCCCTACTGCCTACAAACATGCTCATGTCTCTGCCATCCTCAAAAAAATCCTCACTTGATCTGTCTATCCCCGCCATATCTTTGACTTCCCTTTTGTGGCTAAACTCCTTGAGAAGACTATCTACACCTTTCCTCTCCCTCACTTAAAGCTCTGAAGTCTGGCTGTGACCTCATCATTCAACTGAAATTGCTCTATCCAAAGTTACCAGTGATCTCTTAGTGGTCAAATCTAATAGTGTTTTCTCTCTTCTCATCCTTCTTGACCTCCCTTTAACCTTTAAAGTCATCTATCACCTTCTTCTCCTGGGTATTTCTCTTCTCTCCCAGTTTTCATGACATTGCTTTCTCCTGGTTCTCTTCCTACCTATCTGACTGCTCCTTCTGAGTCCCTTTTGCTGGATCCTCTTCCAGATCACACCCTCTAACTATGGGTGTTGACCAGGCTTTGACCTGGGCCCTCTTCTCTTCTCCCCCTGTATGTTTTTGTTTTTCTTTTTGTTCTTTGCTGAGGCAATCAGGGTTAAGTGACTTGCCCAGGGTCACACAGCTAGTTAAGTGTCAAGTGTTTGAGGTCAGATTTGAACTCAGGTACTCCTGACTTCAAAGTTGGAGCTCTATGCCCTGCGCCACTTAGCGCCTCTCCTCTGTACTGTTTTGCTTGGTGATCTCATTAGCTCTGATGCAATTATCATCTCTGTTCTTCAAATCTTTTTATCTATCCCTAACGTCTTTGCTGACTTCCAGTCTGGCATCTCCAACTACCTATTGGACATCTCTATGGGTGGGACTGGATGTCTTATACCAAACATGTCTAAAACTGAATTCCTTGTCTTTACCCCCAGGCCTTCTCCTTAACTTTCCTGTTATTGTCAAAGGCACCACTAAGTCACCAAGACTTGCAACTTAGGTATCATCCTTCCTCAATTCCCATCCCCCCACACATACTCCCAATCCAATCTGTCCTATTGGTTTTACTTTTGTAACATCTCCCCCATATGCCTCCTTCTCTCACCGAGCTCATGTAGGCTCTCATTACCTCGTACCCGGACTGTTGCAACTGCCTGCTGGTTGGTCTCTCTGCCTCAAGTTTGTCCCCACTCCAGTCCATCTTCTATTTACGTGTTAAATTGATCTTCCTTAAGCACAAGTCTGACCAGGTCTCAACACTGGCCCTCCTTCTCCTGCCCCATTCAGTCAACTGTAGTGACTCCCTTTTACCCCCAGGATTAAATATAAAATCCCATGGCTTTTAAAGCCCTTCATAACCTGACCCTTCCTACTGTTCCATTCTTCTTACATCTTACTCCCTTTCATGTACTCTATTATTCAGTGACACTGTCCTTTTTGTTATTTCTCCAACAAAACATTCTGTTTCCGTTGTTGTCCCTCCCCCTCCACCCCAACCCCCCACCCATGGAATTCTTTCCTTCCTCATCTCCATCTTCTACCTCCTTCGAGTCCCAGTCAAAATCCCACCATCGAAAAACCTTTCCCAACCCCGCTAAGCGTTAGTGCCTTTCCTCTGTGATTATCTCCAATTTGTCTTGTATATATCTTGTCTCTGCATAGTTATTTGCATGTTGTCTCTTCCATTAGACTGTGAGCTCCTTGAGGGCAGGGACTGATTTTTTTAGAATTTTTTGCCTTTCTTTGTATCTCCAGCATTTAACACAGTGCCTGGCACTTAGTAAATGCTTAACAAATGTTTGTTGATTGAATGACTGATTGAAGTATCTGAAATGATAAAGTCTAAAGGATAGAAGTTTGGGGGAACAGATGACACACAGATAGGATGGGACAGAAAATATAGTCTATTCACTGAGTTCTGACAAAAGCAAGGGCTCTTAACCTGGGGTCCAGGAACTTATTTTTTTAATAAAAATTTAGATAAATTTATTTCATTATAATTGATTTCCTTTGCAATGCTGTAGATATTTTATTTTCTGTATTTAAAAACATGATTCTGAGGAGGGTTTCACAGGCTTCACCACACTGCCAAAAGGGTCCTTAACACAAATAAGGAGTAAGAATCCCTGGACCATTAAACAAAAATGCAAATAAAGAGGCAGCTAGGTGGCGCAGTGGATTGAGCACTGGGTCATGAAGACCTGAGTTCATATCTGACCCTAGACACTTGCTGTGTGACCCTGGGCAAGTCACTTAGCCTCTGTTTGCCTGTTTTCTCATCTATAAAATGGAATAATATTAGCACCTGTCTTCCAGGGTTATTGTGAGAATGAACTGAGATAATGTTTGTAAAGAACTTTGCAAACCTAAATGCACTATTTAATGCTAGCTACATTATTATTATTATTAATTACAGGAGATACTGAGTTTAGCATCAAAGGACTACCCAAAACATTCAGTTTGTGGTATCTTTGGGGGGAAAGTTTCAAAATTTAAAAGAGATCCTCATTGTTCTAAGATGAAAGTAGAGTGGTACATTGCGGTACGAAGAATCAGAAGACCTAGGTTCATAGCATGCCTACTTGTGTGACCTTGGTCAAGTCAACCTGCCTGGGTTTCAGTTTCCTCATCTGTGAAATGAGTAGATTGGACCAGAGGTCTTTTCCAAGTCTAGATCTGTGATCCTATAATCCTATGAATCTTTCTGTGTGGAGACAGGGGGATGGATGTCAAGTCCAACCTTCTATGGTCAAATTCTTTTTGGGACAATTCTGCCAACTGGCTAGGACAATTGCTGAGTGGAAGGCAGCTTGGTAGAGGTGGTTTGAGATGGAGGACAACAACAAAGGAAGGTCTTGTGATCCCATGAGGGACCCCTGGATCTTATAATGCAGTTATTTTTGTAAGATATGAGAGCAGCGAGTGAGGCAGGACATTTTAGAATTGGATTATCATCTGGGTTTAGAATCCTAGAATTTAGGGAGCTGGGGGTGGGGGGGAGAGGCATTGGTGACCTAGAAGGGGAAGGGATAGAAGAATGGGGCATATAGAAGAGTGGGATGTATTGGGGGAGAGGGGAGGAGGAGGCCAGAACTGGGGAAAAGAGAGATAGGTCTGGAAAAGGATAATACTGGGGGGTGGGAGATGAGGAAAGTCAGAAAGGGGGGAAGAACTGGAGGTGGAGGGCCCTGGGGCAATGCAGTACTCTGGAGAATCTTTCTTCCATCTGCCAGCCAGTCCAAGCAGGGATGCAGTGAGCCTGCTATGAGTACTGCCCCCAGCCCATGGCCAGCGGCCACCCCAGATCCCTACCCAACTAGGGACAAAGAAGTCATTGTTCTGTTCAACAGATACCCCTTTGTCTGACCAGCAGGAGGAGGGGACCCCTGCATCTTCCTCCCTTAAAGGCCCCAGATTCTATACCTGGGGGGGAGGGGCACTGGTGAGAAGAGGAGTAAGGGGAGACTAAAGAGGGGGAGGTTAAGGAGGTGAGAGGAAGCAAGAATAAGAAGGTATGGGGGGGATTAAGCAGGGGAGCAGAAAAGGAGGGGGTAGGGTGATGGGGAGGAGAAAGAAGAAGGGGAAAGGAGGTGAGCAAGCTAGAAAAGGAAGATGGGAGAAAGCAGTGTTTCCTTCACCACCAACAGCTACTCCTTTCTGTCCCCACCCCCATTTAGTACCTCCTCCCTTGTTTACCCAGCCCAAAGCCCTCCCCCATCCCCACTTCCTGACCTGGGTATGTCGGATTTTTACCTGATCTTCCATTCAGGCCTACTCCTGCAACTACGCCCTTCTAAGGGCCTACATTTTCTGGTCCTTCTCCCCAGACCCCTGGCCACCCCTGCTGCCCAGGCTGTCCTTCCCTTTCTCACCTGCAGCTCTGTGATAGACATAATTTCCTGCCAGGTCAGCTCCATCTCTCCCAGCTCTGGGGCAGTGAGCAGTGTAGCCCGGTTCCTGCTCTGCTGTGGAGGACACGGGGGCATCCTACCAGGCCAGGAGCCAGGGAAGGCTCCCCCAGGCCCAGGTCACCCAAGCAACCTGAAATGATGAAGTGAGAAGGATGAGGATATCACCTACCAGAGTGCATCCTGTCCCTCCTCCAGCTTGGGTAGGAAGGGGCATCTCACCCCATACCAATTGTCTTTGATTCCTGTTTCCCTCATTTGACCACCTAGTTCCATGAGCTGAGAAGTCCTTAGTATCACAGAATCCACCTTCTTCTCGTAAAAACAAATTCTTTGTCTTTGGAGAGGTAGTAGCAGATCCTTGACCTCCCCTAGATTAAAGACCTTTTCCATTCCTCCTCATACCCCAAAACCACACCCACAATCAGGGAAGGGAGCCAGGACTTCAGGGTTTTTTTCTCTGGGATAACATCAGAAATTTATTTCTCTCCCTCATTTTGCCTCTCATTTCCTGGATCTTAACCTTTTTTTCTTCCTAAGACGTTTAAGAACCTTGAGATCCTTAAGGGGCAATGCCATGGAAAGAGTCAACTACCTCATCAACCCCAGGCCTGGTCCTTGATAATAGCTTTATCCTCTCCTATTTCCCCACCCTAGGCTCTTCCTGGCTGGGGGAGATAAGAGGTTATCAGCCCTAGGGCAAAGAGCAGAGTAGGAAAGGAAGATAGGGTTTCTAGGCATAACCTCTGTGCCTCTGGCCCCAAAGAGGTCATTTTATCCATTCACCAACCCACAAAAACAGGTTTCTTTTTAAACCAGGATCTCTTCAAAGCAAAGTTTATGCAGAAGTTCTTTTTGCTATCTACCCTCAATACATTCTTCCCTATGATATTTCCACTTGTTCCATCCATTGAGGAATCCTTTTTGGAGACATGGGAATCCTTACCCTTATCACCATTCCCAATCTGCTTTTCTCTAGCCAACTCAGCCCAGAGCAAACTCAGCTCTGCAGTCCACATCCCTTTTCAACTCATCCTTTCTCTGGTGGGAGAAATAGGGCAAGGTGAGGAGGGGATTTGAGGAGAGGTAGTTGGGAGTGGGTGGGAGGAGGAAAGCTGGCCTAAACTCTAAAAGCTGTCAAGACAGCCCCCTATCACCCTCATTGGGTTCTCCCTAGACTCAAGCAATAAGAAACAAGAAGAAACTTGAGCAGAGGGGGTTTGAGGGAGACATCGAGAGGGAGCTCTTTATAGTTTAGTCAGAGACCTTCTCTAGTTTAGAGAATGGAGAGGGAACTCACTTTTCTTAGCAATCCTTTAGCATAGGAGAAACCCTCAATAATAGGTCCTGAAGACAGAAATGCTCTAATGATCTCAGCAGTATGTATGGCCTTAGAAGTTGACATTCCTAATCAACCATGGTTAATTAACATAGACTCTACCCTTTAATTAGGCACATAAACTCAAAGAGTAGTATTCAATAGCCCAATTTAGTGAGAACCAGAAAAGGATCTTATGTATGCATGAGGTCTTGTTAAGGTTTATTAGTGATATCGATAAAAGTAGGAGAATGATTTGTAATATTATTAACAGTAATGCCCACAAACATGAGGATCATTCCAATGGCCCTTACCTTCTTCCCCTACTGACCTTCTCTACTCATGTTCCTCTCTTCTAGTGTCGCCCGTTCCCTGCATCATGGAATCGTAAATTTAGATCTGAAGGGACCTTAGACTAGTCATCTGGTCCAACCCTCTCCTTTTGTAGTGGAGGAAGCTAATGACTGGAGAGCTTAGACTTGCCCAAGCTCACACAGTTAGCAATGGACAGATCTGGGATTTGAAAACTGACCCTGTGGCTCCCCATCTAGCATCCTCTTTCCCTCCCTGATTCCCTACCCTCACTGCTCTCCTCCAAGTACTCTTTCCAATGTCATTGCTTCCCTCCCAACCTCTCCCCAGCTAGGCCACAGTGTGCATAGCCCTGGAGAAATGTCTACTTGGGTTCAGGCTGGCTATAGTCATAGGATAAATCCCCATGTGTCCTGGGGCCAAGTGGGTGGGGTGTTTGTGTTCTCTTCTTGATGCCATTTCGACACCGGAACACCCAACCTCTGGCCCCCTCCTTTGGGTTCTGGCCGGAAATTGTGTAAAAGCAAAGTGAATGAAGAACAGTCACTCCTGAGTCCCTTTAAGGGAGGGGTGGGGGGAATGGCTCTTACTTCATAGATTTGCCCCCTCTTTCCCTTAACCTACCCCCAAGCTGACTCTGACTACTTCTTGCTTTCCCTTTCTCCACTTCTTTTGAAAGGGGCTTCTGCTCTTGCCCCCTTCAGGCTGGCATCAGGCAGAAGACCTAGGATCTGCTTTCCTATCTACCAGTAACTACCCATATGAGTTTGGGCACGTCACTGAAACCCGATGACTCTCTGTTGCCTCATCTTTAAATGCAGATAGTGCCCTATGTGTAAAAAAGCATGATGTCTTGAGGTCCTTTAGAGACCCAAGATCTATAATTTTATGGTTTTTCTCTCTCCCTTAGCCTTAGAATCCTTTCCCTTTTGCCCCTTTTCCTGAGGTTCTGTCTCCTCCAATCCTCAGGAAAGTAGGGATGTATCTTTGGGTTGGTTCTACCCCATCTCTGTAAGGGGAAATTAAGGTATTTGTGGCTTGGGATAGGGAAGGGGTAATGTTCTCTCCACCCTAACCTGGTGATGGTCAAGAGTCCCCTCAAAAATGTCTTTATTCTCATTGGCCCTTAGGGATCCCTATTACAGGAAACAGCTGGTTGAGACCCAGTGGAGTGGGGAGAAAAAAGGAGTGGATAGATGGTGAAAAAGATTACTCTCAGGAGAAAGGGTGTGGGGTACTCTGGGAGAGAGAGCCAAGGATTAGTGGGGAGACACTGGGGCTATCTGTGACTATGACATAAAATTAATTCCATACAAATGCATTAAAGTTGATTTCTTAGGGGTTTTCAACTGAGTGAGGACTTCTTCCTGTCTCTTTATCATTTTCTAGGTGGTCATTCAATAGACAGCTTCTGTCTAGGGCCATTTTTTTCCCATCCTCCTATCTCTATGTTGAATGGTCTCTTTCTTAGTCCACACAAATAGAAGTTTAAAATACCCAGCACAATACAGAGATTTCTAAGGATGGAAACATCTTTCCTCTCACACTACCCCTGCCCTCTTCTGAGGTCTTCTGCTCTGAACATTCTTGATGGAATCTCTAAGCACTTACAGAAAGATTTTGGAGCCCTATGAGGAGATGAGGAATAGAGAATTAGGATCATCTATGGAGGGAGCACCAGGACCTGAGAACTTGAGGTGATGAGGAAAGGAGGGAGAAACCCCCAAATCCTGCTTCCCAGGGTTTCCACTCTGTCCTAGAACCCAAGTATCCCCGAGTTCTGAGCTTCCTGATATGTGTGTCCTGGTTTCAAGGTCTCTATTTTTGACCCTCTTTTTGTTTCCATACCGGGCTTCCAATCAGGAGGTGACCTTACCTCTGGTGGTGGTGGTGGTGGTGGTCAAGAAAAGTTGGCTAAAACTCGAGAAAGAGAGACAGAAGAAAGGAAGGAGAGAAAACAGAATCAACTCAGAGAGAAAGGGTTAGAAAGGAAGAGTGTGTTGATCAGTACAAGACTCTGTGCCTTGGGGGCTTCAGTAACTCAGAGTGTGTATGTGTGTATGTGTGTGGAATATAAGTAGAGCTGGGGAAGGTGGGGGGGTGGGTGGACAGAGAATGCTGTCTAGTCCGTCTGCTTATTTCTTGGGGAAGCAGTGAGAAGAGAGGGTAAGGAAGGAAGCCTCTTGCTCTCCATAATGCTCACTTTCCCCAGTCTAGTCTCTCTGACCCCAAGCCGGTCTCCTCTCTGAAAGAAAGGGCTTTCCTCTTTCTCCTCTCTCTCTTCGTTTCTAATTCTGAATCTACTTTTCTCCATCTTTCCAGAGGAACAAAAAAAATAAACTGAGGCATAGAACCAGGCATCATGAGTGGACCCATCCTCTGCCTTTACACTTCTTCCATTTACCTCCCTCTGCCACACATACAACACCCAAATTTAACCTATTAGGAACCTTGGGTTGAGACAGGGTAGTGATGTGACTATGTATGTATGTGTGTGTATAAATATATATATGTATATATATAGATATAGATATAGATAGATATGGATGGATGAGTGGGAGAAGAAGGTTGGCACATCCTGAGGTGTCTCATTTCTTCAAATGTACCTAGTTATGTAGTGAGGACACCATTATTCCTGGTTTTGTCCAGTTATCCCCATTTCTTCCTCCCTTCCTCCTCAGGTCTCTCCAAACCTTTTTGACCAATCCTTCAAATAATCCATCCCAACTTCAATTTCTTGAGACTTCTGTCTTTGTATACTTTGTCACCTGAGGATCTCAAAGTATGTAACCTACATCTATTTGCCTTTCCAAAGACATTTCCTGACCCAGAGATTCAATGCCAGGACTTGGGATAATCAGAGGTTCTCCTGGAAAGTTAAGAATTCTTCTTGCCCTAATTTCTGCATCAGAATTCTCCTTTCAGTCTCTTACCTGTGGCAGTGTCCAGGCAGCGGAGAGAAGGAGGAGGGATGTCTCTCTTGGTATTTCTGTCTCTGAGAAGGCAGAGAGATGGGGTAGACCCCACTGATGTCACTGGGAGGAGAGGTGGAGATCTGTTCCTTGCAGCATATCCAAGGGCTGAGTTCAAGGGCTCAGGCGGTAAGCCAGAGGATCCTGAGGCAGCTGAAACCTCCTCTCCAAACCCCCAGGCTGTGGGTTATCTGTCCCTCCTCCCAAGCTCCCCTTTCTCCCTGGGCCCTCCTCTCCTCCTGCCCCTTCTGGCTGACAGAGGAAACTTGAGCCCTGTGTGGTTTCTGCCCACACCTCCTACTCCCCCCCCCCTACTTACTGGGCAGACAGGGGTGCTGAGGGCCAGGCATACACGCTCCCTGCCCCTTGGGCCTCAGTTTCTTCCATTCTATATATAAGCTAGATCCTAACTGTGGCAGCCCCATCTGAAAACAACCTACAAGCCCTTACACTGGTTCAGACCTCTGGTAGTACTGGGTGACTGAGAGGAGGAATGGAGGAGGCCTCAAAAAGATGGCAATGACCCACCTGTCTAGCTTCCCATTCTACTGGGTAGGTGGAGGTGTGTGGGGTTAGAACACCTCGGATTCTCATTTCAGGATGCCTCATTATAGCATGGACTGGACCATGGGGAAAGGGGAGACTGATGTGGAGGAGGGAAAGAGGGAATCGGATGCTTTGATGTTTCTCTACCTGTAACCTTCTCCCCTCCCCCTCTGCCTCATATGGCCTGGGACAAAGGCCTCTTTCTTGGCCAAGGTGTGTGTGTGTTTGGGGTGGGGGCGGAGGGGGACAGAGCAGGATGACTCACCTGCCTTAAAGGGATGCCTTTGGCTTCCTCCTGCTCAGCTCTGTTGTCCCAGGCAGGGTGACCCTACAGCCTGCCATCTGAACACCCTAAATAGGCCAACACAAGTGTGGAGGGCATTGCATCCCATTCCTGAAAAATTTCAACCTCTTCTATGTGTTTGGCAATTAGGGCCCTAGAATAAACACTGCTTCCATTGCCTTACTCAGATGTAGACAACTCTTGTTCCACCCCGAAGAGGCAGAGTTCAGGTGGGAAGGAGATTCTCTGGACTTTCTTGATGTCCCCCTACCCTTTCCACCCCCTCCTCCTGTTTTCTGGTGTTCTGTAATTGTTTTAGTGGAAAGAATACTGGATTTGGATTTTGGAGACATGAATTTGACTCCTGGCTTCCCTATGTGCTCTCTGAGTGATCTTGAACAAGTCACTTAAGTAAACCTTTCTGGGCTAAATAAAGTTCTTTATAAAATGAGGGACTTTGGGTTAAATTGTCTCTAAGATCACTGCCCAGCTTCAGATCCTAGGAACTCTATTAATCCTTCCTGATAGCTAAGTTACAGTCCTTCAAGCTGTACCTTAAACCCATTTTCCTTAATTCTTATTAGGATCATAGATTTAGAGCCCAAATGGAACTCAGAGGCCAGCTGGTTATGGGATCACATGATCTTAGCTCTGGAGCTGGAAAAGAAAGGACCGCTGAGGCCATCTCATTTTAGGAGGAGTGTGGTTTAGGAGATTAAGTGACCCTGCCTAACGTCACACAGGTAGTAGGTATTAGAGCTGAGATTTGAACCTAGGTCCTCTGACTTCAATCCAATACTCTTTCCACTTTGCTATCCAGAGTCTTCCCCAGCAGCTTCTTTCGTCTGTGAATGTCTTGGTAGGGGGTGGGAGAGTAGAGTAGGACTTTGTATGCACAGCCTGTGTCAAACAGGGGGCAAAGACACCAAATGCTTTTCTGCTCAGGGCATCGTAAAACCTCTTTGCGCCCTAGATTGGTACTGGTCTAGGTCACACAGATATACCTGTTATGCTCCACCGGCTGGTACCAGGCTGAGGTGCCTTATGTACATTCTGGTTTGCCCTGACGTTCCATGAGCTGGTCACGTGTGGATACCTCTAAGGCCTCCTGTTAGAACTCTATGCAGATGATGTGAATGGTGGGAAATATAACACTCATGGCTTGTGGCAGACTGATTGTATCATGTGTTACAATCAATCAGCAGGCATGGGTTGATGGTGGGAGGTCAAACATCTAAACTGGAGAGCTGTATCTGATGCTTTTCAGTTTCGTGTCTGTGGCAGTTCATTCAGTTTAGCAAATATTAAATGCCTACTCTGTGCAAGGTCCTGGGCAGGCCTGAAGTACATAAAAAACAATAAAAATGGCATAATCGCTCCTCTCAAGGAACCCACACTAATAATGCAAGTCTCAGTTGTCTCATCTGTAGAGCACTGGTTCTGGAGTCAGGATGTCCAACCTGAGTTCAAATCCAGCCTTAGACACTTATTGGTTATGTGATCCTGGGCAAATCATGTAATCTCTGTTTGCCTCAGTTTCCTCAAGTGCTCATGGCACTAATAATAACACCTATGTCCCAGGGTTGTTCAGAGAGGATCAAATGAGATAATATTTGTAGAAGTGCTTAGCATATTGCCTGGCACATAGTAGGTGCTATATAACTGCTTATTTCTTTCCCTTCCCTTTCCTTATAAAATGGGCATAATATTTGCACTACCATCCTCACAAGTAAATAATCAAATGAGATACGGTCAGATACGAGGCTTTGTCATCATAAGATACTGCTATATAAAATATGAGTGATTATTGAAGGAAGGAAGGAAATAGGCATTTATATAGTACTAAGCTGTTTTACAATATTGTCCCATTTGATCTTCTCAAACAACCCTGGGAGGTAGGTACTATTATTATCTCCCATTTTACAGTTGAGGAAACTGAGGCAGACAGAGGCTAAGTGACTTATCTAGGGTCACACAGCCAGTAAGTTTCTAAGGCTGGATTTGAACTCAGGTCTTCCTGACTTCAGGTCAATCTGTTGTGCCACCAGCTGCCTCTGCCTATTGATTGATTAAGTAGGAGTGCTGGGGACACAGTAGCATGTAATTCAGTTTGAGAATTCAGTAACAGTTAATTGACCATATTCCAGGTGATGGGAATACAAAGCTACTAGATGATAGGGATACAAAAATGAACTTACATCCCACTGGGGGAGAAGGTCAGAATGTGTGCACAAATAAGTATATATATATATATCTTTTACAAATAAGTATATTCAAAATGTATACAGAGTCAACATAAAGAATTTTTTGTTGACATGGGGGAAGGAAGGAAGCACTAACAATTAGGTGATCAGGCAAGGACTCATTTGAGTCCTATTCATTTGAATAAAGGCTGGGGTACTGCAAAGCCAAGATTAGGAGTGAGAACATTCCAGCCATGTCCTAGGATATCCCATGGGGTAACCTGGGCTAAGGCATGGCATTGGGAGATAGTATGTAGTATATGAGGAAAGAGAAGTAGTCCAGGTTGGATCACAGGTAGTGAGAAGGAATGACGTATAAGACAGGAATCCCCACCAATAGTAAGAGAGATGCAAGTCAAAATCAATCTGAGGTTCCACCCAGGAAAATGGCAAAGATGACAGAAGATGGGAAGAGTCAATGCTGGAGGGACTGTGGAAAGATAAGTCCATTAGCATCCTGTTGGTGGAGCTGGGAATTGGTTCAGCCATTTTAGAAAGCAAATTTGGAATGATCCTAACGAGGTGACAAAAATATCCATGCCGTTTGACTTTGAGATCCCACTCCTAGGCATATGTAAGTCAAAAACAGAAAGGTCCAATATAAACCAAAATATTTATAGTAGCACTTTTCATAGTAACAAAGTAGATGCCGTTGGTTGGAGAATAACTAACCCAAGTGAGGAGCACAAAGGTGATTAGCATATTATCTTGCCAGAAGAAATAATGACTATGAAGAATACAGGGAGTCATGGCAAAGCTGCTATGAATTGATGCCAAGTAAACCAGGAAGAAAATGTACCCAAGAGTACAACAAGGTAAGTGGAAAGAACAGCACTGTGTAATTGCAATGAGCAAGTTAGCCGGAGGAAGAGACAGGAGCGACAGATAACCCTTCTGTGCCAAAGATGGGGACTCTCGCTAAATGTAGGGTGGGACCTAATTGGTGCATTGGTTAACTGTGTTCAACTGCCTTCTTGTGAGTGTTCTCTTTCTTTTTAATTTTTTTGTTATAAGGGATGGTTTTCTGCATGGGGAAGAGGGGAGAGTTATAGTGGGGAACTGAATGACATAAACACAAAAGAGATCAATAAAAATTAAACAAACAAAAGAACAGGAATCCTTGCTACCCAGGGAGTTCCAGTCTAATTGGAGATACGAGACTGTTTTGTAAAACGTTCCAGCACATTACTTATAAGTGCTTACATAAAGGAGTAAGTGGGTTCTGAGCCAGGAGGCGGTGGTGGCCCTCTGATGGATGTTGAGTGGTCTTTGTCCATCCATCACCTATACAGAGATGATAGAGTAGGGCAGGGACATCCCTCAGTCAGACCAAGTCCCTTCTAGTAAGTAAAGGCCATGCTATTTTTTTCCTTTTCAAGGCTTGGTCTTGTTACCAGAATTAGATTTGCAATCTCCTGAGGATAGTGCTGAGAATGATTCTTTAAGCCTCTGGTCATGGAATTCTGTGATCTGTAGGCTTCATTTGTCTTGGGCCAGCTCTGTCTTGTGTGTGTGTGTGTGTGTGTGTGTGTGTGCGTGTGTGTGTGTGTGTGTGTGTCTGAGTGTGGCAATTGGGGTTAAGTGACTTGCCCAGAGTCACACAGCTTAGTGAGTGTTATGTGTCTGAGGTCAGATTTGAACTCAGATCCTCCTGACTCCAGGGCCCTTGCTATAACCACTGTGCCACCTAGCTGCCCCCAGGTCTGTCTTAGTTCAAGTCGCCCCCAAAGGGAGCTAAGCCGCTCTGTAGATAGAGCTCTGGACTTGGAGTCAAGAAGACCTAAGTTCAAATCCAGACTCCAGTGCTTACTAGCTGTGTGATGCTGGGCAAATCATTTAGCCTCTGCTTGCCTCAGTTTCCTTAACTATAAAATGGGGATACTAACAGCCCTTACTTCACAAGGCTGTAGTGAGCATAAAATGAAATAATTTTTGTAAAAAAAAAAAACGTGCTTAGCACAGTGTTTGACACATAGTAGACACTAAATACATGTTTATTCTCCCCCCTCACCTCATGGATTTCTGAATAATTTGGGCTTTGGAGTGTAGTAAAGGAATGGTGCCAGGATAGCAGTATGTTTCTGTAATGTTTTATGCTTTGCTAAAGTGCTACTCTGATGTCTTACTATGGCGT